TTCACATTGGCCCCAGGCCCTGTGAAGGCATCGCCAGACACAGACAGTCCACCTCCCTGCACACTTGGCCCACACTGGCCAGAAAATTATTCTGGGGTCCCCAATCCCTGTTGGAGATCAGAACAAATTGCTTTTGTGCTCAGGGAATGCACCCACTGGGAGAAGCTAGGCCTCCAAGTAGCAGATCGTTGCCAAATATTATCAAACATCGAAAGTGGGTGAGACAATTGAGACTGGCAACGAAGTCGGTAGTATCTTCACATTGGCCCCAGGCCCTGTGAAGGCATCGCCAGACACAGACAGCCCACCTCCCTGCACCCCTCACCAACCTCTCCACAAACGGGAAAATTATTCTGGGGCCACCAACTCCTGTTAGACATCAGAAATAATTTGTGTTTGGTGTGACGATCCTTGTGAATCTCAGAACTGATCTTGGCGCTCTTTAAGGCCTACAACCGAATTCAATCCTGCCGGTCCGTCCAATCGAAGTGTCCACTTGAAAGGAAGAAAGATAGGATCAGCTCCAAGCCTCTCCTGCTTTAGAAGGCCATAACTCTCACTTCCTGCCCTATAGGATCAGCTCCAAGCCTCTCCTGCTTTAGAAGGCCACAACTCTCACTTCCTGCCCTATAGGATCGGCTCCAAACATTTCCTGCTGACCCCCCCGAATTCTAAGCATTTTCAATCATATGAGCTGTATGCATTTCATCAATTATTCCACGGTGTGGGATACATCAGGAATAATTTATCCACATGTATGTGCATGACCCTGGAATAATAAGAAAATTATTCCAGGGTACCACCCACATGGTCCTCGCACAAGGGACCAGCCATGGAATTTCACTGGAATTCACCTCCACTTCCACCGAATTAACTGCCACAACGGCCGCCGGGCCTAAACACGGGATTTGCCAGTTCGCATAGATTTGCATTTTTCTGCATGAATTTTCCGCATGATTTTGCATGTTTACTCAAGCAGTCTGACCTGAGTTTTCAGCAGTTTAATTCGATTTGCATGAACACACTACAACACCACATACTAACATTCCACATGACTACAACTCCTACCTTTCCGCAACAACACATACCCACTCTCCAAACACGCGTTACCATTTCAATTTTTGAACGATTACACCAGCTGCAGTCTCCGCTGCCGTGCCGCGCCGCCGCCGCCGCCGCCATTGCGAACATTTTGCCACACAGCTGTCACGAGTTTTTCAACAGCCCTTCACTGGACGCCTCATGCAGTATCCCTGGCCTTACTCACATGCAACACCACCTCCATTACCCACTGCACCAACACAACTGACCACACATTTGCCACATCCACACACAGCACCGGCATTTCCTTATCCACAACATCCGGCCTTTCCCATACCCCAACATCCAACATTTCCAGCTCCACAACCTCTGACTATTCCAACTCCGACACCTTTTCACTCACCACAACCAAACGCATTACCTTATGGTCCTCATTCTACGTGGACCCTTGTACACCCCCCTCAGCCACAGCCGACGCAACCGCCAACCACATATCAACCACAGGCACCTCCCCCATCCTACCTGGTGCAACAGTTCCATAAGAATCCTTTAAGATAAAATGTGTGAAAATCATAAATTTTATGAAAACAAATAAATTTTAAAAAATGACAAATTTTATTTTTCTGACAATAAAAATTTATTATTTTGGAAATAAAAGTTTTATTTCTTGATAATAAAATTTTATTTTCAAAAAAATAAAATAAAATATATTTCCAATAATAAAGCTTGTTTGGAATAATAAACTAATCTTGCGAGTGTATACACGACCACCACCACCAACGCCACCGCCGCCAACAACAACATTGCCAGTGGGTTCGTGAGCTTCCTCACTTTCGACAGGACATCGTGGCATATTGCCACACTGCTTGCGATGGCCTAGCTGAGCCGTGCATAGATCTCTCCAAACTGTCAAGAAAAGCTAGTATACTACATTTCCAACGCGCTCAGAATCTCTCTCAAACTCTCACGCGCAACTCTCTCAAAACCCGCAATTAAGTCTCTCAAACCTAGCTTATGCGCAAGTCTCGAACAGGCCTGGTGGCGCCTTTGGCGCAGCAGGAGGTGGTGCAGCTGCTTCGGGTTTCTTGAAATGTCTGCGTTGAAAGTTTGAGGGTTTCAAGAGTTTTGAGAGTTTCTGGTTCTGGAATTTTTTGGGATTGAAAGTTTGAGGGTTCTGAATGGAGAGTTTTAGTTTTGGGATTGAGAGTAATTATTTGAGGGGCTGACTGGCTCCTGAAAAGGATGAGGATTCACCCTGTCAAACGAAGGTTCAGTCTCTCAAAACACTCAGACTTAACTCTCCAAACAAATCGAACAACGTCTTCCTATTGACAACCTTGCTAGTAGGGGTTCGTTGAAATTTCCTCAAAATTTAAACCCCGAAAGCTCAAAAAACCAGAAACTCAAAAAACTCCTAAGCGAAAGTCAGTGGGCACCTCCTCCAACACTTGCTCCAGACCATATGACCATATATGGCTGCGGCATCAAGAAAACACTCGGAACTCTCAACTAACCTATAACAACGTATATGCTTCGATCCTCACCACACCATGGGCCGTCCCCATGAGCCCATTTGGCACGCATAAAAATACACAGTTTTTTCCACTCACCATATGCGTCAACCGATCTTGTCGATCATTGACCAGCGGCTCGGTATTCTGATTCGATCGTGGTCAATATATGTCTACAGGTGCCCTCCTGACGCTTTTGCTGGAAGGTCGCCTGCAAACTCTATTTGGAAGGAAGACTCTGCTTCACGGCTGTTTGGCATCTAGATCTGCCAATTGGCTGTCTGGCGTCTAGATAACCCTGACTCGGGCGTTTAAGCCCAAGGTTGTGGTTGTCCAACAGCTTCGCCATAAAACAACTGCATGTTGCCTGCCATCCACAACTGTCACTCTTCCAAAATTCATCTCATAACCCGCCTCGGACTTCTGAGACCCAGGTTTGCATCAAACAACCTCACCAGCGCCATTGTGTTTTCTCGTTGCCCGGAGGGTGTGCCGCGACCAACCTGCTATTTTTTGACAACTTGTCATTCACAACTTTCATTTTTCCAAAGTGTCTTCTCGCCAAGTTCCTTTGAACCTTCAAGTCCATGTCGTCATGTCGCCCCGGATTTGTTTGAAACCGTTCTGCATCCCAAAAGGGTTGAACTGAGAAGCTCTATTCACCTCAAAGATCCTCAGAGTCCTTTTGAACTCCCTTCATCCGAAGAGTGTTTGATCCAAAACAAAACGAAGCAAATATAGGCAATTCTTGATGCAAAAGGTTGGGGTAAAAGGCTACGCTGCTGATTGAGCTGCGAAGGCAATCTGCAAGTCAAAAAGTCGGCGCAAAATGGATGAACGCATCAAATGAAACGGAGAGAGGGAATCGACACGGGCAGATTCCTACAATTGGCCTGATTCACATGGTTTTACTTCTCACTCCTTCTCTTGCTAATCAATCTATTCTTTGCGCGGGTAGCTTCTCAAAACCTGTGAATATGTCTACGCTGCTCGTTTTGCTGCATTTCCATATGAACGTGTAGCTTTCGAGGCGATCACCCTGCAAAGCCTAAACCTCAAACACCCTTGCTCCAACTGAAGGTCAATGAACTTCAGATCAGTTTTCCTTATTTAAATCCTATCTTGCGACAAACACCTGTTTTTGATTGGAGTCCTACATTTGGGTGCCTACAAAACGTTAAGAACAATCACAACTCTTCACACTGGCCTGGACACTTTGTCAAAACCACAAGGCCACCTTGATGCCACGATCGCTTGAACCATTTCATCTCACATTTGTTGAACATATTCTGCAGCCCAATATCCACTTCTCACCCGGCTCCAAATAGTCAACATCCTTTT